GCAATTTTAACAACTGTTGTTTAAGTACACTTGTGTCATTGTGACATTTAGATTGTGTAATATGTAATAATATTTGAAGCTTATAAAAATTAGCGGAATCATAGCAAAATTCTGTGCTTGCGACTCGTCTCTATGCAGAAAGGTTTGCAGAGTGATATCCAGAGAGAACGTGGTAGGGAAAATGGCGATATTCGACCGAGGCTGGGGCAAAATGGAGAAGCAGTTCGAAGAACAACCAACTCCATCCATATCACGTGCAACTTGTATAAGCCCTACTACCAGTGGATCATCCCCCTCGAGTACAATTTTACGAGTGGTTGCTACATCAGCATCAGTTGAACCCAAACCTTACTACCTTACTAATAACGTTTTAATTACGGACGAGACTATTTTCACACGTAACCATGGTTTAGCCCATTCTTGTGGAAAATCAATTCGGCGAGCCTAATTGAATCGGTTATTTCGAAAAGGTCACTACTCCAAAAAAGTAAATTTTACAGGAGAACAAAAAAACGTTTCATTTTGGTATTAGTCAGAATATCGATTTCTTTTCAGAACAAAGACCTAAATTACGATACATGTGAAAGTTTTATAAACAAAGAAATTTTAAAAATAAATCTAATGCGCAATTAAACAAAATTTTGTATTTGGAGTTGTGGCCTTTTCCAAACAAATATTGATGGTTTCATGATTGATGATTAAAAAAATTTAAGTATTGTTAATAAAAAAATTTATTAGATAAAAAAAATACTTAATGGTATTTAATAATCCTCTTCTGGCGGTTCATCACTATTAGTAGTAGGCCATAAATTCAGCTCATCATAAAAAAATTTTTTGTCTTCTGGTACATACTGCACAAGTTTCTTTAGATTGGCACACTTCTTTGGGTCCTTTCTTAGCCTCGCCCTCATGATAAGAGTAAAATTTAGCCTCTCCTGTTTTTAAGTTATGTATACTGTATTCAAAAACCCATAGTTGTCGATAGTAAAAAATTTTCTGTACAGGTATGTGTGGTATAGGTAAATTTTGCATGTAGTCAGTGTGATTCCCAATATTTCCTCTTTCTCTAAAGAGAGCTTCTTGATGTGTTGTAGTTTTTTATAGAATTTCTTAGCCCTGTTTTTGTGAACTAAGAGTTCTGCTGTAGCAACTCTTTTTGCATTGTCATTGAGAGTTGTACTTTTAACTTTCTGACCAAGTTCTTCACAGGCCGAACATACGTCAACTTGAGGGCGACCAAAAGTATAAGTAAAATTTTCATGGAAATATTTCAAGTATTTCACTTTTGAGTCAGGAAACTTTTTCATAAACATATTATGCATTTGTTGAACATCCAAAGTAGCAGGCAAGTCCTTTTTAATACATTGTTTGAATAATGTACTTCCTTAACATCAAACGATTCTATGTGTTCTTTTATTTGCAAGCATACCTCACCTGGTATTAAATTATGTCTAGATTTTACAGATTTACCTCTATTGTCTCTTGGAGTAGTTCCAGAAATTAGTAGATGACATAATCGTCTAACATGCTTTTCACCAACGCCATATAAACTCAAGAAAGCTTTTTTACATACCTGTTTACGAATTCCATTCAAATAAACATGAAACAGAAAATTATTAGGTCTCTCAATATGTTTCTTGGCATTTTGAGATTTTCTACTTCTTTTAACAGGTTTTGCTTCTATCAAACTTTGTAAGTAGGAGTCTTGAGAGTTTTTATCATCAAACTGATGCAAAGATGTTAACAAAGCGATTCTATCTAATTCTAAATAATTTTCACAACATTATTTACGACAAGTACAGTCGATTCCAGTTTGTCGTGCCATAACCTTTTTTCCAACATGATTAATATGTGCCTCACCTTTTACTTTAGCTTTCTTAATAACTTCACTTTTATACTCGGAACGGTTAATAATGCCCTTCTTTCTCTTCTTTTGTTTACTATTTTCAATATTGTCACTATTTTCACTGTCAGAGCTACTCATTTTTATATAAACAATGTAACATAAACTAAAAAATACGATCAAGATCACAGAAAACTGCATCGATATGGCAGTCAGCTGTTCGGTCGGTACGCGTACATTTGATTAGAAAACGCCACTTGTCCGGAGATGTGGCCTTTTCAAAGTAAACAGACAAACAACACCGACATGGATTTTATTAACGAAGAGTGAAGTTTGCGGCGTTTTCGCATGTAACAAAGCTTAAAGCATATTTTGAATCAATTTCTGTGTTTAACTATTTTTGGTAAAAACATGGAGATGTGGCCTTTTCGAAATAACCGATTCAATTGTGTATACACTTCATTGAAAGCTAATTTCACGGATATCTAGGAAACTAAAAAACTTTTGCTACAATTTTTTTCATCCAAGTTTATGCGTATAAGTTGAGAATCATCCTGTATAGCATGATTAATAAGGATTACATTGTTTGACCGTAGTACATAAAGATATGATCTACAGGAACGATTTTTAGCATGTTCAAAAATATGTCTATTATCACTTAACTAAGAGACATGGAGTTTTTTTTCTTATTTTTTCCAGTACAGGTATGGGTTGGTCTCTCGCGCGGTACCCGCTTGACATTGAGATTCGGGACACCTTTATATGGTTACAAAGAAAATTTTATAAAACTTAAACACAGAATCAGATTCAAGAATAGAGAATGATATTACACGCCAATCTTTGATTATATATAATATGGATTGAGCCAACGAGAGAGATAGCTTGCGCAAGGTGATCGAACCGAGATAGACATAGAAGCGTACTGCCATATAATGGGTGTACTGATAGAAGTGAGATAGATATAGAAGCGTACTGACATATAATATATCTATCATTGTTACACTTTCACATTATCGCTTTCCATCTGCGTCTATTCACCTTGAGCAACATTTTTGTTAGTAGATATATTCAGTTAGCTCAATCCATATTATATATAATCAAAGACGCCAATATAACTAACGAAAATATTGTGTACAATTAACAATTTTTCTCATTGGTTATATTAAAACAGTGTGGTTTCCCGTATACTGATTGAATAGCATTTTACGCCACCTATTACGACGCCATCTAACGTCATCCTGCGTACAGTACGTATTTTTAAATTAAATTACAGATTTCTAAATTACCGAACATTTTTGTATGGTATTCACCTTTAGATCGTACATTTAGTGGAATTTCCGTACGTATGGCAACACTGTCTATGATAGAGTTATTTTTAAGTTTAAAATGTGTTAACTATATAATTCGATGCGTCACGGTTGGAATGATTCTATTCATGAAATTCTCTCGTTGTTTCGAATATATTGTGAAATTAATTAAACCTAACAATAAAATTGGGAATAATGAAGGTGAATAAAATATTAATTGATAAAAAGGGGGTTTATTTTTTATCAAAATTACACAAAGTAATAATTAAGGTAAATCTAAACGAGGAATTATTATTATTACTGGCAGGAGAGAAATTCGAGATTTTATTTATTCGATTTTTTGATTATTAATAAAATTAAGAATGTTTTTTAGATTTCTAAAAATAACCCTTTAATAAAAATGATGAAATAAAATTAAAATTGTTACCTTATCTTTATTTTTTTGTATCTCTGCTGTTAAAGAAGCAACTTTACTTCTCTCAATTTCAAGCAGGGTATGTAACTTAGTAACTTCTTCCATTAAATCGTTCTTAATTGTACTCAATCTATCCAATTCTAATAAAATATCAGCCTTTTCTTTCACTTAAAATTAAATAATTAATTATCAAATTAAATTTTTTATATTTCAAAAAAAAACTTACAATCGCCTTCCTCTAAAATCTTAATTAACTCCTCATTTCTACTTTTAACATCAGCCAATTCAACTTTTAATAACACCACTTCTTTATCCAATTCATCATTTTTATCAAGTTCTAATTTTAATCTCTCCTACAATTTTATTTCTAATTAAAAAATGTACAAATTGTTACAATTTGTTAGTACAAAGTTTATTAACACAAAGTTCATTTAAAATAATTGATATTTACCTGGTACTGAGAAGCAGTAATAACCTTTTCAATGTTAGCATTTCGATTTTTTCTATTTTCAATCAATTTCTCCTTATTCAATTCTAAAACCATATCAGAACGAACTTTATCAAAAAAATTCAAATCTGTTTCAATTTTTGAATCGGAACTTTTTAAATTAACTTCATCTAGGAAAAATAAAAAAAAGGATTCCAACCAAAAAGGTAAATAAATATTTTTTTTTACTTTTAGATTGTTCTGGTTCCACTAAAAACTTATCCAAACTAATTGTTTTTGTACCCTTTTTTTTCTTTTCCATTTTTTTATTTGGCTCAGTAATTGCAGCTGCTTCATAAAGAGTTTTTTTCTCTTCATAATCTAACTTTGATAGTAAGATAGCATTTTCTAAATCTTTTTGATAACTTCCATTTACAAACTCACTATCTTTTTGTTTCCATTCTTCCCATTGTTTTTGTGGGGCTATTTCACCTTTTTTCTCTTTTTTTGGTATCACCACCTTAAAATTAAATTAATTAATAGGGATTTTTAAATTATTACATTGTAAACATTGTTTAAACCATCTCAAGGCTTGAATAATCTAATCAGAATCAAAATTAAGTTTTATTCAATTTTCTTTTCAAATCAAGTTGATTTAATATACAGAGTAAGTCCCTTTTAACCAATTATTCATTATTTACCTGTTGTTTTTCGATTTTATTCTCAACCTTTTCCGGTTTATTAATTTTTTTGTTCTCAGATTGTGGTTTATCAGTTTTTTTGGATTTAACTGATTTTCGATCATTTTTTTTCGGTCGCTCTTCGTCACCTTCAATTTTTAAGCACGCAAATCGCGAGGGTACCGCTATATTACTCATTTTACGCTAAATTATGAATTAATTGCACGTAAAAGTAAAAATAACAATCAGAACCTGTCAAATTGACATAACCTAGAAATTTTTATCAATTTAGTTTTGCTACTAATTCATAGATGGCGCTTATCACGTAATTTATTTATCTATAAATATTAATGTTTTTATAACAAAAAGATAAACTTTATCAGCACTCTTAAATTTACGTCAAAATAACAACTTGCACATTTTAATCTTTCTAACTTAAATATAAAAACTTTAAGTAATAATCTCATTATTTTAATTCTTCCTTTAACAGTTAACTAATAAACATCATTTTTTATTAACAATTAAATATAGTAAATATGTCGAGGCTTGATATAATAATATTTGGGGCCACTGGATTTACTGGAAGAAGAATCGTGCCGCGTCTTCACGAAATATTAAAGAAAGAAAATTTAAATTTAACGTGGGGGATTGCTGGGCGTTCGAAAAATAAACTTAAAGAAGTTTTAATCGAAGCTGAACAAAAAACTGGTTTGTTTAATAATAATTTTTAATGTTATTAGTAACCCTTTTAAATCTTGTAGGTGATAAACTCGATGAAATTGAAATTATTGAAGCTGACATTAACAATGAATCCTCTTTAAAATCGATGACATCGAAAACTAAGCTCCTAATAAATACAGTTGGTCCATTTCGATTTTATGGCGAACAAGTTGTTCAAGCTTGTTTATCAACAGGGACTCATCATTTAGATGTAGCCGGGGAACCACAGTTCATGGAAGAGATCCAATACAAATATCACAAAATCGCTATGGAGAAAGGGATTTATTTGATAAGTGCTTGTGGTATGGATAGTATTCCTGCTGATATGGGCGTGATTCATCTTCAAAATAATTTTGATGGTACTTTAAATTCGATCGATAGTTACCATTATGGCGTTGAAGAAAACGGGCCGCATCCAGGGCCGGAATTAAATTATGCCACGTGGATTTCGGCGGTTTACGGGGTTGGTAAGGCCAAAGAATTGACGGAATTAAGGAAGAAATTGTTTGCTAAACGACTTCCGAAGTGTTTGCCACCACCTCAGAAACGGTAATTATATACTTTATAAATTTAAATTGTAATTAAGAAATTATACTGGGTTAAATTTACCTTAAGAGTTGTCCGTGTATATTCTTAGTATTGGCTAAAAATCAGTGAGATGGTGCTCATCAGCAAAAAACGCATCCATTTTAAACCACTGAAATTTTGAGATCACTCATAATTCCCATCTCCAAACAGCTCTTCTCGTCAGATCTATTGTAACTTATACCCTCCAAACGTTTAGGGCAAATGTAGATCCTTGATGAACCTTAGTATTGCTCCAAAGTCTTGTTTCTTTATGTCGGTATGTGTCAAAATATTGATAACAATGTTGGTCATCATGTTGTTCTCATTATACTTATCGGACGAAATTGAAATCCTACAAATAATAAATAATTTAATTAACACAACGACAACGGGTGAAGATAAAATACCTACGAGCGTGCTAAAACATTCTGCAAGGTACTTGGTTAAACAAGTAACGCATCCTTCACTGACGGCGGTTTTCCGGATGAGCTGAAAAAGACAGTAATAATCCCAATCTATAAAAAAGGAGACAAGTCCTGCTATGATAACTATCGTCCAATAGCACTCATATCCAATCTTGCAAAAATTTATGAGAAGCTTGTACACAACAGAATTATAAATTATTTAAATAAATATAATATATTGCGGATCCACCGAACTTGCGATGTTTCAACTGTTGGAAAATATTATCTTGGGATTAAATGGAAAATATCCACAACAGCATTGTTTATGGATCTTACAAAAGCCTTTGATAGTGTACATCATCCAATCGTTTTGATCAAGTTGGAGAGACTTGGTTCTAGAGGTGTTAGCTTGTCATGGATGAAATCTTATCTATCAGGGAGTTCATCCCACAATGAACAGGGAACAGAAATAAGATCAGTTTGGCGGGAAGTCAAGCTGGGAGTACCTCAGGGTTTCATATTGGGTCCTCTATTGTTCCTCACTTACCACGTGTAACAAACAATATTACTATAATGTTTGCGGATGACACAACGACCATGGCGAGGTGTAGCACTAATTATGAAATCCAGAAATCACTTACTGTGGATCTGAATAAACTTGTGGATTGGTTTGAAGCGCACAACATAAAGTTAAGTACAAAAAAACGAAAATTATTAATTGTGGGGATATTGAGATAGCCAGTGTTGAAGAGATTTCGTTTCTGGATTGAAAAATGAATCCTGGAATCATATTGATTTCCTTGCTGGTAAAATCAGTCATTTCTCATATGACATTCGGATTATTTCCAAATGAGCTGGCATTGAGGCAGCATTAAATGCATATGTTCATTCCTTGCTAAGATATGGAGTTGTCCTTTGGAGCTGTGGTGTTAGTATAGATAGAATCTTAATATATAAGAGCAATCTTTGGTCTAAAAATACTGATAGCTGTAGAAGTTACTTTAAAGACTATAAAATCCCTACCTTGTATGGAATTTATATTCTGGAATGTGCCTTATTGGTTAGGAAGAATTACTTTGAATTTTTCAAAAAATATGAAATATCACATCCTCGAGACACACACAGGAAGATGAACTGCTATCTGGTGCCACCAAAAACGCACCTTACTAAGATTCAGAAGACTGAGAGCTATTGTCACGGAAAATCCGATGTATACCATTGACATGTTTTTCCAATTTAATCTTTGAATTATATCACAATGTAATTATTGTTAAATTGACGCACTCTACACTTTTCTGGTAAAATTTAATGCGGCTCTTTGGTCCTCCAATGCCCATACCCACTCCAGATCCAACTGTCTTTGAAACATCGGAGTACCAGGCAAGGGCTCCTTGCCATGAATATATAACATTTATAACAAATATAGTCTGGGAAACACCACATTTGATGTCAACTGGAGAAATGAGTACAGATTCCACGCGGACACGTAAAGACTGATATAAAAGGTAGGACTGGAACCAAGATACACAAGAAGAGGTAAAACCAATAGCAGAGAGCCTAGTTAATATGAGGGCATGGTCAACATCATCAAAGACCTTACTAAAATCAAGTAACACTGGCAAGGTAACACAACGCTTATCACAAGCAGATCTAATATCATTGGTGATCTTAATCAGTCCTGTAGTAGTACCATGCCCTTCACGAAAACTCATCAAATTAAACTCCTCACGATATTTCCGAATCTGTAAATAATCTAAACGTTCAATAGCTTTTGACAACGTAGATAGAATAGAAATGGGTCGAAAATCACCAACATGGGACGGAGATTTAATTGGGATAGAAATAACATGGGCGATTCGCCAGATGAACGGAAATGTAGACTGTTCAAAAGAACAGTTGAAAATATGTATTAGGGGAGTAATAGCTATATCCAGAATGGGTAAGAGGAATCTCAGTCCAATACCATCTGCACCGACACTAATGGACTTGGAGTAAGTTAAAGCATCCCGGACCTCAGCATCTGTAACCAAGCTGAATGAAAAGGAAAGCACGTTGGTATATGCAAGGATTTCATTAATAGTATTCTGCCTAGTTGTGTTACCAACCACCAAAGGAGGAAACGCAAAATACTCCGCTAGAGCAGCAGCATCAAGAGTGGGTTGATCTGTGGGAGACTCTATAAGACCAAGTGATCGCATTGTTTTCCAAAATATCTTATGAGTAGCTCCAGACAACCTCTTACAGTAGTGCAATCTTACAATGTTTTTGCATCGATGATTACAACGGTTGTGCAGCACTCGATAATGTTCCCGCATGAGAAATCTCATCATTAGCCAAGGTGCCGGCATGTGTCTAAGTTTCCGCCGCCTCTCCGGAGCATGGCTGTCATAGAGATCAAGAACCTTGGAATTAAGGTACTCCACCTTAGCATCTATGTCAGGCAATCGGTAAAGTGGCTGCTAATCAATTTCGCTCGCATCAGACATCAATAACCTGCAATCTATACTTTGAAGATCACGGTGGATCACAAAGCGCCGGGAAGCAACCTGAAGTCGTAACTGGAGGTATAGTTTTGCCATTTTTCTCGGCAACACCATAAATTTAAACATTGTTGCGATGGGAGTCGTGTAGGAAGTTAAGAATAATTCTTTGGGTTCCATCAACTTATACAGGTGGTTTCATGAGGAATGGTACATACATTAATATGTTATAGGTTTGTTCATTTTAAGCAGAAAAGTTCCTAAAAACATGTGCTCAATTCTCAAAGGTAACTGAGACGCAGTCAGTTAATGCATAAATTAATATCACGTACGGCTGTTGTGAAACAGTCATATGTCAATGTTTGACATTTAACATTATTTCGTTGACGTGTCGACTAAGTTGTTGATAATGCCACACATATTGACTCATGCACATGGTGTGCAATCTTACAAATATAAAAATGTAGACCGCGATTTAGTACCCTCACAATCCACTGGATGACGTTGTAAACTGAATTTGCAGCAATCTGCATTATCTACACAAACAAAGCGCTTGAAACCATAGAAAAATTTATGTATAACGTCAAAGTCAGAGGTGAAAGCAAACGTCACATTTTTGTTTTGTCGTTTAGTGTAATAATTGGTGATAACCCCGTTGTATAAGCAAATTTTCTTCCTTACGTTCATTTGGTTTANCTTGTGCGATAAAATGATCCATTTGCTGATACCGTTTAAGTTAAGTGTATCTTATGTAATTTTGTATTTTTGTCTGTGGCAATAAATGATAAATAAATAAATAAATATTCAACCTTGCAAAAATTTATGAGAAGCTTATACACAACAGAATTATAAATTATTTAAACAAATATAATATATTTCGGATCCACCGAACTTGCGATGTTTCAACTGTTGGAAAATATTATCTTGGGATTAAATGGAAAATAAACCACAATAGCATTGTTTATGGATCTTACAAAAGCCTTTGATAGTGTACATCATTCAATTCTTTTGATCAAGTTGGAGAGACTTGGTTCAAGAGGTGTTAGCTTGTCATGGATGAAATACTATTTATCAGGGAGTTCATCCCACAATGAACAGGGAACAGATCAGCTTGGCGGGAAGTCAAGCTGGGAGTACCTCAGGGTTTCATATTGGGTCCTCTATTGTTCCTCACTTACCACGTGTAACAAACAACATTACTATAATGTTTGCAGATGACACAATGACCATGGCGAAGTGTAGCATTGATTATGAAATCCAGAAATCACTTACTGTGGATCTGAGTAAACTTGGGGATTGGTTTGAAGCGCACAACATAAAGTTAAGTACAAAAAAAAAGAAAATTATTAATTATCACTTATGCTCTGACCAGATCAAAGCGAGGTGTCGGGATATTGAGATAGCCAGTGTTGAAGAGATTTGGGAAATGGATTCTGGAATCATATTGATTTCCTTACTGGTAAAATCAGTCATTTCTCATATGTCATTCGGATCATTTCCAGATTAGCTGGCATTGAGGCAACATTAAATGCTTATTATGCATATATTCATTCCTTGCTAAGATATGCAGTTGTCTTTTGGGGCTGTGGTGTTAGTATAGATAGAATCTTCATACTACAGAAGAGGTGTATAAGAGCAATCTTTGGTCTAAAAATACTGATAGCTGTAGAAGTTACTTTAAAGACTATAAAATACCTACCTTGTATGGAATTTATATTTTGGAATGTGCCGTATTGGGTAGGAAGAATTACTTTGAATTTTTCAAAAAATATGAAATATTACATCCTCGAGACACACGCAGGAAGATGAACTGCTATCTGGTGCCACCAAAAACGCACCTTGCTAAGATTCAGAAGACTGAGAGCTATTGTCACGGAAAATCCGATGTATACCATTGACATGTTTTTCCAATTTAATCTTTGAATTATATCACAATGTAATTATTGTTAAATTGACGCACTCTACACTTTTCTGGTAAAATTTAATGCGGCTCTTTGGTCCTCCAATGCCCATACCCACTCCAGATCCAACTGTCTTTGAAACATCGGAGTACCAGGCAAGGGCTCCTTGCCATGAATATATAACATTTATAACAAATATAGTCTGGGAAACACCACATTTGATGTCAACTGGAGAAATGAGTACAGATTCCACGCGGACACGTAAAGACTGATATAAAAGGTAGGACTGGAACCAAGATACACAAGAAGAGGTAAAACCAATAGCAGAGAGCCTAGTTAATATGAGGGCATGGTCAACATCATCAAAGACCTTACTAAAATCAAGTAACACTGGCAAGGTAACACAACGCTTATCACAAGCAGATCTAATATCATTGGTGATCTTAATCAGTCCTGTAGTAGTACCATGCCCTTCACGAAAACTCATCAAATTAAACTCCTCACGATATTTCCGAATCTGTAAATAATCTAAACGTTCAATAGCTTTTGACAACGTAGATAGAATAGAAATGGGTCGAAAATCACCAACATGGGACGGAGATTTAATTGGGATAGAAATAACATGGGCGATTCGCCAGATGAACGGAAATGTAGACTGTTCAAAAGAACAGTTGAAAATATGTATTAGGGGAGTAATAGCTATATCCAGAATGGGTAAGAGGAATCTCAGTCCAATACCATCTGCACCGACACTAATGGACTTGGAGTAAGTTAAAGCATCCCGGACCTCAGCATCTGTAACCAAGCTGAATGAAAAGGAAAGCACGTTGGTATATGCAAGGATTTCATTAATAGTATTCTGCCTAGTTGTGTTACCAACCACCAAAGGAGGAAACGCAAAATACTCCGCTAGAGCAGCAGCATCAAGAGTGGGTTGATCTGTGGGAGACTCTATAAGACCAAGTGATCGCATTGTTTTCCAAAATATCTTATGAGTAGCTCCAGACAACCTCTTACAGTAGTGCAATCTTACAATGTTTTTGCATCGATGATTACAACGGTTGTGCAGCACTCGATAATGTTCCCGCATGAGAAATCTCATCATTAGCCAAGGTGCCGGCATGTGTCTAAGTTTCCGCCGCCTCTCCGGAGCATGGCTGTCATAGAGATCAAGAACCTTGGAATTAAGGTACTCCACCTTAGCATCTATGTCAGGCAATCGGTAAAGTGGCTGTCAATCAATTTCGCTCGCATCAGACATCAATAACCTGCAATCTATACTTTGAAGATCACGGTGGATCATAAAGCGCCGGGAAGCAACCTAAAGTCGTGACTGCAACGCACAGTAAATCAAGTCAATGGAGGTAGAGTTTTGCCATTTTTCTCGGCAACACCATAAATTTAAACATTGTTGCGATGGGAGTCGTGTCGGAAGTTAAGAACAACCCAAAGAGTTCCATCAAATTATACAGGTTGTTTCATGAGGAATGAAAGAAAAGGAAAAGTTCCCAAAAACATATGCTCAATTCTCAAAGGTAACTGAGATGCAGCCAGTTAATGCATAAATTAACAATTGACATAAACAGTCATTTGTCAATGTTTGACATTTAACATTATTTCGTTGACGTGTCGACTAAGTTGTTGATAATGCCACATATATTGACTCATGCAGAATATGCTGATATGGTGTTTTGTTACGATTTCTGCAATGGAAATGCACGTGCTGCTCGTCTTGACTATAGGAGACGGTTTCCTAACCGAGTGCTGCCAGATTCAAGAGCATTTACTCGAACATTCAACAGATTGCATGAAATCGGTTCTGTTGCAAGTACAAGTGTTCATTCTCAACGCGCAGGTGTGGGAACTCTGAATGAAGTTGAACAAATTCTTCAGTCCATCTACCAGTACAAGAAGACTTTCTGTTCGTCTTGGTGTTCCTCATGTAAAAGTATAGAACATTGCGTACTCATGGCTTGTATCCATTCCATGTTCAACCAATACAACACCTTGAACCAATAGACTTTGCCAGGAAAACGATGTTTATCAAGTAAAAGTAAACAAGCGTGATGAGCTAATCGCTCGTATTACGGCCAGTGCTGCACGAATCAAGGCACATCAGGATAAATTACGCAGCACAGTGCGTGATATCTTCAAGAAATCAGCCAAGTGCATCGAGTTAGGCGGTGGGATATTCGAATCCTTCCTTTAAAGTCCTAATTTCAATATTTTATGTACACATTTAACTAAATCAGTTTCTGCATTAACTTGCTGTCTCTGTGTTCTTTGAGAATTGAGCACATGGTTTAAGCAACTTTTCTGCTTAAAATGAAACACCATGTATTGTGAAGTACACACTTTTAAGTAATATCTCTTATCTTAAGCAATTTTTTTCTATATCATAATTGGCATAAAGCAAGTCCATAAACTGCAATTAAAAAATCATTACAACTCATTTAATATTTACCTTTTTATGTTAACTTTGATTTTTTTGTCTTCAAGTTCAACAATTCATAAAAATGAAGAAATCAATCGATGGTGTATTCCATTTCCCGCAGCTGATCGTGCAGTTTTATCGCGAACCCAACGTTACTTTTACGAAGAGAACCAACAAAGACCCATTCATATAAGATGTTATTGGGGATTTGAGGAGTTATCTTCAATTCTGAAATCGGCCGCAGTCGCTCCGTTATTTATGGCGTTTTGTAAAACTGAACCTACAAGAAAATTATTAGTCAAGGTTTTTATATATTAAATTTAATAAGATTTAATTCGAAATATAATTGTTTTAGTATCCAGGATTCTTTTCTGGTGGTGCTTTCACAACCGGAGGTCCAAGCGAAGAAAAAATGGAAAACACCCTTTTTTATGTTAAGTTAGACGCGGAAGGGTGGGCCGAAAAACCAGAAAAGGACGTTTGTAAAGATTTTGATAAGGCTCCGGATAAAAAAATGGTGGTGAGAGTGGCAGGGAGAAATCCGGGTTATGGAATAACGAGTACTACAGTTTCTTTAGCGGCTATAACAGTGTTAACTGAACAAGATAAAATGCCGAATAAGTAAGAATTTTTTGATTAATTTGTTTTTAAATTTATTTTTTTGATTTATTTTAGAGGTGGATGTTATCCTCCTGGATACGCTTTCGCAAAAACATCTCTTATCGAGAGATTAAACAGAAACGAATTAAAATTTGAAATCGTTTCAAAGTTATAAACTTAAAGCAACTAATAAAAACTTTTAGGTAAACCTTGTAGTTGGTCATCTATTGTGTTTTATATTATTTTTTATAAAAAAAAACTTTTTTTATTACATTGTTAAAATAAAAATTGAGAAAAATAACTTTTTATACTCTTTGATGATGGAGAAACATTTTCTAATTCATCAATTATAAAGACATTTATTATTTAAAACAATTTACGTAACCTCACGTGGATTAATAATCGCTTTGCACCTCTTCAAGGTGGGTTATTACACATGATAGTTGGTAAAGAGACGTATTATCGAATTACATACGACGGCAATTGTATAACTTCCGTTCTACACGCTCAATTTACTGACAGATTTTCTATTCTGATTATTCTCTATAAATAAAAATCATTTAAAAGAAAACGCTCGAGAAAATTGACCTTGATTTAGATAGTTTGTGTTCCAATTTAAGTTGTAATCAGGAAATTCCTTACTTGTACAATTAACTTGTTTATAGTTTAAGTGCACTAACATTATTTTTTAGAAACCTTAATTTAAATTAATGAAACCATAACTCGTTAATATATTCACCTAACGTCGTTTATTGCTATTAATTTTTAATAAATTCCTTCAATTAACATCTTTACCGTTTTTAATAATAATTTCCTTGTAAATTAAACTCTCTGAGAATCCCCTTCAGTTTCTCTTATCATGATTATTTTAAAGCGTTGCTCGTCATTCGCGACGTTTTGTTCATCGTCATAAAAGACAATCCAAAGCGAACCTAACATACAGTTGTCACTCGCGCTTCGAACATAGTAGCACCTCTAAACGATTTATTATTTCAATACATCAATAAATAAATAAATAAATATACAAATAAATAATAATAAAAAAAACCTCAAAAACAAACTTTAAAAAAATTGCTTTAAATTACTAAAAAATGAATTTATTTATGAGTGTGGTGATTCTGTTGATTTTGTTTCAATTAGGTAATTAATGTTTTTTATAAACAAAAATGTTTTTATTTAATTTTAAAAATCGTAGGATTCGGGCAAGATTTTGGATACGAAGGAACTGAAGGTAAGATTTTTTTTAATATAATAAACCATTTATAAAATAAATCGTTTATAAAATTAATAAATTAAAAACCATTACAACAATAACCGTTATAAATATCGCAAGTATTCGAAAAACTTTCTCAAGGTTTCAAAGCAAATACCTATTTATTTACATTTAAGATCATCTTTTTAGCTTTGAGCTCAATTTAAATAAAAACAATTTTTCTAATTAAAATAATTGCAAATAAAGTGCACCCAATTAATTTTTAAAAAAGTTGCACTTTGTTAAAGCTTCCGTGATGGTTTAATTAATTATTTATTAAAAACTCACGTCAGCCGGTGCTTTACTAAAGTTTTTATTAATGCAAGCACGAAAAATGGAGAAACCTAGACATGCAACCAAAGTATAAATAAAATCCATTTAGGATTGAATAAATTTGAAATGGATGTTTTTTGTTTGAGATTGTTTTAAAGTAAATAGTCGCATTCAATGGAAATTTTTCCTTTCTTGTGAACAAATTATTGAATTACAACAGAAAACAAGTTCTCTTACACAATTCTAAACGCTTTGAAATCAACAATTGCATTTGACGCACGATTTCTAACAATTCTACCGATAAAATATATTAAGGAAGAAAAATTACAATGAAAAAATAATTAAGATAATGGAACTAAATATTATAACAAACATTTAATAAATTTCAAAAATCAAATCAATACCAAGTACCTCAATATTTGAGCACTATTCACAAGAACTGAACATCACAAATAGGATTGTGCGAAGAATTTTACACAAAGACCTCAATATAAAAAAATACTAACTTCAATTAATCATCACGAAATTTATCGCGTTTTTGCTTAGCAGAAGAAAGCTGATTTTCACATCAAAGGTTATGCGAATAAGCAAAATAGCCGAATTTGGTACATCGAAAATCCACACGTGATAATTGAAAAGCACCTAAAAACAAATAACTGTATACTGTGGAATTTGATGCGATTATTAGCGAAATGATTGGTATTACGTCATTATTATCCTTGCTTATCCTCGTTTCTTATTGTTGGAATTTGACCTTTCTACGAATTCAACTTGACGAGTTTGGCACTGCATCTTCTTCTGCATTAAAATACAACTCGTTTCGTATTTTATCGTAAACGAAACTAGTTTTGTATATCCATCAACTGGATGCTTCAGATTGATGATAAGCAACTTGTTGTGAATTTTTCGCTCCGTCTTGGAATTGGTTCCCCGAAATTTTTCTCCGACACTTTTGCTGTTTATTTATTGCTATGGGATAAATGACTCAAAGTGAGAGACGTGGTTGTGATAAACATTATTAATGATGTAACCTCTCCAGGGTTTCTCACTCAAAATTGCTGATTTCCTGAAACCATACCTGCAAATTTGTATACCCATATTAAAAAATATCATTGTTGATTAAGTTAGGTTGGATTCACCCAATCGTAACATTATTCTCTAATTCGTATACAGGGTGTCTCAGCGAGACCGGTCATTAGACGTTTCTGGGGTTCTGGCGAAAATAAAAATTTGAGAATTCAGACTTAAGTATTATCAATTACGATCTCATCGACTAAAATATTTTCAGATTTCTTGCACTTCCGGTATAACCGGAAGTCGCCACCTACTTTATTTTTTTAAATGGAACACCCTGTATATTTTTACATATTTGGCTTTGTCTGTTTTCAGCGTTTATAAATAACTTTACTTTTTGCAATTTGATACGGCCGTTCTCGAGTTATTCGAATTTTTCTAGAAAAATCTGCTCCAGCAGATATTTGTTCAAAAAATCAGAGCATACTCCATCATGTTGTTTAAGCATGTTCTGAATCCTAAATTGCTATCTCAAAAATCGAGTGTTCTATGATTTTTTGAACAAATGTCCGCTGGAGCAGATTTTTCTAGAAAAATTCGATTAACTCGAGAACGGCCGAATCAAATTGCAAAAAGTAAAGTTATTTATAAACCTTCAAAACAGACAAATCCAAATATGTAAAAATATACAGGGTGTTCCATTTAAAAAAATAAAGTAGGTGGCGACTTCCGGTATAACCGGAAGTGCTAGAAATCTGAAAATATTTTAGACGAAGAGATCGTAATTGATAATACTTAAGTCTGAATTCTCAAATTTTTATTTTCGCCAGAACCCCAGAAACGTCTAATGACCGGTCTCGCTGAGACACC